TACATGTTCTAGAAAAAAATGGCATCCCCTTTTTTATCTCCTTCTAATATATTCACATGCAGCTCTCCTACATATTTGAAAAAAAAAGTTAAGGGAGCCCGGAAGGCCAATGCTTGGATATTCAATATCAAAATTTCTACCCAATTTTGAATGCCCACATTTCTGAGTTTGTCTCTTTGGACAAGCCTCCATGATATTTATCTTGACAATGACACCGAGCATAAAACACACGGCTAGCAATGCACAACATCCGATTACAAGGCAATAAATTTGGTAGACATGCGCACCACTACGAAAAGAATTGTTTGGAAGACATGTGGACCATTGAAGGTTATTTTACTCCCTTTGGTTGGCCATTCAAAATAGCATTGAACCAAAAAAATTGGCTGAATTGTGGCTTCTGGATTTTTTACAAAAAAATAAGAATCCGCGATCCATTTCGTCTAAAAATGCCGCTTCACCCAGTGTATGGGGAATGGCCAAAGGAGTGGCTCCGCGTCGCGAGTCTGGATACTTTGTAGTATTGAAATGCAAAACATTCCATCAACGAGTAGTGGATCAGCATGTCCGGTAAAAATATTCCTAACAGAATGGCCATGATTTGAGACTAATTATATCAGGAGAGTAATGCCTTGATGTAATAATTTACACTATGCAAAACCCTCTCTAACTTCATGTCAATGAATGGATGAGGCAAATCTTTATGCCTTTGAAATTTGTAGGAAAAACAAAACTTCCGTTGCCCATGACCATGCGCCAAGCTCCAGTTCAAACAAATGAAAATATGACATTTTAAGTCTAACTGTTTTACAATACTCATATGTTTATCTAATGTATATCCAAAAATATGCTTGTCTAGTGAAAACATCTCGATTGGAACAACGTTGAAGCTTAGGTGCTCGTCCGTCCACGTTTGTTCCTCGTAGTACGCTCGACAAGACGAAAAGAAGGAACGAGGGACAAACAAACGGGAGCCAGATGGGCAGACGTATCACCATAGCATCATGTTATATATTCCATTGATTCCTCCATCATTATCGCGTGGTATAGTACCTATCACCTAGGCCCAAAAGGGCCGAAAGAAAACTAGAATAGAAACAGAAAGAATTAAAAAAAAAAGGGGGGGGGAGGGGGGGATTATCTCCGATTCCATACTGCGGGCGCACGACGCTTCTACGGTGAGATTTGAGTATTTCAACAGTACTACTGTACGTGTTAAGTACAGAGGCTGTGATTCATGGCGTCAACGGGAGACTGTTTGAGAAAGTTGGGGAGCCCAATTTTTTTGCCGGTTCTCTTGACATCGTCCTGCACCTTCCTCCGGTACTCCCCGAAGGTAAACGGCCTGTACGGCGACGGCTCGCCGCATGTGCCGACCAGCGAGTCGTACGACGGGCACAGGAAGTAGGCGACGGAGAGGCGCTCCGCCTTGGCGTTGGCCACCACTTTGTGCTCCACGCTCTTGTACCTGTTGTTGCTCCACGCCTGAAGCATCCAAATGCAGAGAACTGGAATAAGAAGGCGAAAAATGCGTCCACACACACAAAATAGTACCATCTGATGCGACGATCGGGTACACCTCTCTGCTTGGTCAAAACTCCGGCATGTAGTACGTATATGGGGTAAAACGCCGAGGAGGGGACTGTTACCTGAAACAGATCGCCGATGTTGACGATGAGCGCGTCGGGGCGGGGTTTCACGGCGACCCAGCGGGAGTCCTTCATGAGCTGCAGGCCCCCGACCTGGTCCTGGCAGAGGATGGTGAGGAAGTCGCTGTCCGTGTGCGGCACCAGCCCGAACGTGTCCGGCGCGAACGGGCATGCCGGGTACCTGTTGAGCCGCAGGAAGCACGTCGTCCCGTCGCACCCCGCCGGGAACGCCGGCTCGCCGCCCCACGCATCGTGCCCGAGGTCCTCCGCCAGCGCCGCCGCCACCGTGTCCGCCACGCGCGACATCGCGTCCGCCACCTCCTGCATCACGGCCCTGCTCGCGCGACAAAACTTTTGCTCGTCAGTCATCAATAAAACTACTGCACACGACTCGTGGTAAAATTCTCGCCTAGTGTGACTAAGTGACCGTGGTAAACACACGCATGTAACCAGATTAGATTCATGGTCATGTACTAATATTGAAACAAGTGCTCATGCATGTACCATTTCGAGTCATGGTCGTGTGTATTGTTGGTTCATACACGTATACTGCTAGCCTGAGATATTTCTCTATCCGGACACTGTACACGGAAGGGAACCCCGCAGCACACAAATTAATATTCGGTGTATGTATCATGGTCCTGGGGGATGGGGTTGGTAGGCTGGTTCGATGGACACGAAGGCGTTAAATTCGGTTAGTGTACTAAAAACGCCCATGTTTCGTGGGCACATATGCAGCCGCACACATGATATCGTCATTCATCGACCCAAACAAAGCCGAATTAATGTACGTAGTTGACAGGAAAGTTTGCCGCGTGCCTCCATCTTCTTCCCTTCTACTACTAGAATATTACTACACATATATGTGCCGGCAGCAAACGAATATACTACTAACGATCGCGCGCGTAATAACTATCAAAAGTGTTCTTTCGTCCTTGGACTCTCAAATGAAAAGAAAATCTCTATCGACAGAACTGATTAATGTAACTAATTATAGTCAAGCACGTTCGCTAATTGTCTGACAGAGTAAGCAGGGTAACAAGAACAGGCATGCATATGGGCGGGCGTACGTAAGCACGTACCTCAAGGAGCTGAGCTTTCCGTAGTCGCAGTCCTCCCGGGAGATGCTGGCGAGCGGAACGTGGAAGGCCTCCGACCACGAGAGGTGCCGGAGCGACGTAGCCGTCGGGTTGCCCCACCGGTACGAGCCGTTGAGGAGCCCGGCCTTCTCCTTGGTGTCGAACGGCAGGCGGAACAGCCGCGCCTGCTCGCGCCGCATCTCCTCCAGGAGCTCCCGCCCCACGCCGTGGTTGATCACCTGGAAGAAGCCCCACTCCGACGCCGCGCGCGCCATGGCGTCCGCGCACGCCTTCCTCTCCCCCGCGTCGCCGCTCGTCAGGCGCTTCAAGTCGATCATCGGCAGGTCGCGCTCCAGCACGGCCACGCTCTCCGGCACCGCCGGCGACAGCGCGGGCGCAATGCCGCCGCGGCGGAGCTGGTCGGTGCGCAGCAGCGCGCGGTAGCTGTCCGCCAGAGGCGGATCAATGGCTGGCTCGGCGAAGGCCGGCATGGTCGGTCGACGGAGGAGATGGGTAGCTTAGACACGTGCGAGCGTGCGTCTAGCTAGCGCGCTAGTGATGGACCAACCGGTCGTCGTGTCACACGCAGTGCACACTCACTTGCTTAGCTTAGCTACGCTACCACTGGGCCGCTCGCTGGGCAGTGGCTATGGCGAATCGCGCTGCTACGAAAGATCTCGGGAGCGAGAGGCCTATATATAGAGAGAGGAGGGCCGGGCGCGCGGCGCTAGCTAGTGGTTGCCCGGTGGGCGGAGAGCTGGACATGTGCTCGATCGCACGTTCTTTCTTGCATGGGGCGCTCGCCCGGCCGCCTTTACTTAGGGACGGTGGATCGGGGAATACCCTAGCCGTTTCGAGCGATCCTCTGAGGCGTCGCGCGATTAAGACCGAGCGACACTTGTGTGGGGGCGCAGCAAGTTATGGGGGCCCTGTCTTTGACCGCGCAACTTGTGGCTCCATTCAATGCCAAAAGTGTTTTTGAAGAAGCGGAAGCTCCGGGTAGACTCGGTGCATTGCATGCGTGCGCGACGTTGCAAAAGGTCCTAATTCATAGCTACTCGTTGTTTCTTGAGATGCACATCACGCAATATTGTCCTTCTTCTCCATGGCACTTGCTCTAATGTTGATGTACTACTGTATGTATCGTGTGGGTGCATGTATGACTCAATTAATGCAATTTCTGACGACAGGTAGTAAGTGCAATTTTGATCATTCCGTGCATCACCATTCTTGGTACTAGTACTACTCGCACAGCTTCTACGTAGCTGGCTCTATCTCGAGTGGTTAATTAGATGACGAGCTCAAGCATGATGGTTGCACCACCATATATAGTGTTAATTAGCAGCAGGGACAAAGGTACTACGTCATGACCCGTTTGCATCTTGCCGTTCAAATTTGAGCAATGCTGCATGCAGCATTGCTGGGCCCTCGTGGGCGGGTTGACAGCCGACAGAGATTGCTCTTTAGACTAACGATTTCCATTAGATCGGTTTTTTGGTTGAATTAGCTAGAGCATGCACTTCTAGAAGGAGTAACTAATTACTTGAAGAAGCCAAGTGAGATTTTGTCGACATCGCTTGGAGAGAAGAGAAAAGCAGCAGGGACAAGGTAGTACGCCATGACCCGTTTGCATCCCGTTGTTCAATTTTGAGCAATGTTGCATGCAACATGCTGGGCCCTCGTGGGTGGGCTGACACCTGACAAAGGTTGCTCTTTAGACTTACGATTTGCCATTAGATCGGTCTTTTGGTTGCATTAGCTAGAGCATGCACTTCTAGAAGGAGTAACTAATTACTTGAAGACTTAAGTGCCTCGTTTGGAGAGAAGAGTGAAAGCAGCAGGGCAAGGTACTATGCCGTGACCCGTTTGCATCCCGCCGTTCAATTTTGAGCAATGATGCATGCAGCATGCTGGGACCTCGTTGGCGGGCTGACACCCGACACATGTTGCCCTTTAGACTTACGATTTGCCATTAGTTCAGTCTTTTGGTTGCATTAACTAGAGCATGCACTTCTAGAAGGAGTAACTAATTACTTGAAGAAGTTAAGTGAGATTTTGTTGACCTCGCTTTGGAGAGAAGAGAGAAAGCAGCAGGGACAAGGTCGTATGTCGTGACTCGTTTGCATCCCGTTGTTCAATTTTGAGCAATGCTGCATGCAGCATGCTGGGCCCTCGTGGGCGGGCTGACAACCGATAAAGGTTGTTCTTTAGACTTACGATTTGCCATTAGATAAGTCTTTTGGTTGCATTAGGTAGAGCATGCACTTCTAGAAGGAGTAACTAATTACTTGAAGAAGTCGATTTTGTTGACATTGGTTGGAAAGAAGAGAGAAAGCAGCAGGGACAAGGTAGTATGTCGTGACATGTTTGCATCCCGCCGTTCAATTTTGAGCAGTGCTGCATGCAGCATGATGGTCCCTCGTGGGCGGGCTGACACCCGACAGAGGTTGCTCTTTAGACTTATGATTTTCCATTAGATCGATCTTTTGGTTGCATTAGCTAGAGCATGCACTTTTAGAAGGAGTAGCTAATTACTTGAAGAAGTTAAGTGAGATTTTGTCAACCTCATTTGGAGAGAAGAGAGAAAGCAGCAGGGACAAGGTAGTATGCCGTGACCCGTTTGCATCCCGACATTCAATTTTGGGCAATGTTGCATGCAACAGGCTGGGCCCTCGTGGGCGGGCTAACACCCGACAGAGGTTGTTCTTTAGACTTACGATTTGCCATTATATCGGGTTTTTGGTTGCATTAGCTAGAGCATGCACTTCTAGAAGGAGTAAATAATTACTTGAAGAAGTAAAGTGAGATTTTGTCGACCTCGCTTGGAGAGAAGAGAGAAATCAGTAGGGACAAGGTAGTATGTCGTGACCTGTTTGCATCTCGCCGTTCAATTTTGAGCAGTGCTGCATGCAGCATGCTGGGACCTCGTGGGCGGGCTGACACCCGACACATGTTGCTCTTTAGACTTACGATTTGCCATTAGTTCAGTCTTTTGGTTGCATTAGCTAGAGTATGCACTTCTAGAACAAGTAACTAATTACTTGAAGAAGTTAAGTGAGATTTTGTTGACCTCACCTTGGAGAGAAGAGAGAAAGCAGCAGGGACAAGGTAGTATGCCATGACCCGTTTGCATCCCGCTGTTCAATTTTGAGCAATGCTGCATGCAGCATGCTGGGCCCTCATGGGCGGGCTGACACCCGATAGAGGTTGCTCATTAGACGTACGATTTGCCATTAGATGGGTCTTTTGGTTGCATTACGTAGAGCATGCACTTCTAGAAGGAGTAACTAATTACTTGAAGAAGTTAAATGAGATTTTGTTGACCTCGGTTCGAAAGAAGAGAGAAAGCAGCAGGGACAAGGTAGTATGTCGTGACCTGTTTGCATCCCGCCGTTCAATTTTGAGCAGTGTTGCATGTAGCATGATACGCCCTCGTGGGCGGGCTGACACCCGACAGAGATTGCTCTTTAGACTTACGATTTGCCATTAGATCGATCTTTTGGTTACATTAGCAAGAGCATGCACTTTTAGAAGGAGTAGCTAATTACTTGAAGAAGTTAAGTGAGATTTTGTCGACCTCGCTTGGAGAGAAGAGAGAAAGCAGCAGGGACAAGGTAGTATGCCGTGACCCAATTGCATCCCGACGTTCAATTTTGAGCAATGTTGCATGCAACATGCTGGGCCCTCATGGGCGGGCTGACATCCGACAGAGGTTGCTCTTTAGACTTACGATTTGCCATTAGAT